TATTATTATTTCAGGATCATTATCTTACATAAAATCATTTTTATGCATTTTTGATTCAAATAATTTTAAATGAATTATGTTCATTGATACCAACTGAAAGTCATACGTTCGAAGCTATCTAAAAACTAATATAACACGACAAAGAAAAATAACAGAAAACTGAAAGTAATTAAATAGAACAGGACAAAACAAAGCAAAATAATGCAAACCCCCAAAAGGACTACAATTTTTCCTGTTATTGCAATTCAAAACTAGAAACTTTTCTTAAATTCAAGATCAGCTATACATTTTATGTTAAGAACATGCAAGAGCTAAAATTAAACTTAATCGACCGTAAAAAAAGCTTCTGAAATTTAGTGATAGCGATAAATTAATCTTTCGTATCTTTCATAAGTTGTACCGAGGCAAACCGTTGCTTATACCGCGATGAATATCACTATATGGGAATGGCATTTTAACGATAGTTACGATGAATGGGCAGCATCATACTGTTATACCAAGAAGTTCAATGAATGAGTACAAAATGCCTAGAAACTCAAAAGAAGAAAATACAATTATTCCTTAACAGTAAATGGCCTCGTTTTATTTGTGATCTGGAACCTTTTCGATATGGCGTACTTTATAATAGCGGAGGTTTTTTTTAATTTTAAAATAATTCGTATTTCGTGTATGTGTTTATTAAATGGTAAATGATCGATTGAGGAAACTTCCCACAGCAATACAACTTTTAAAAAAGTCGAATTGTTTGCTTGCTAATATGAGTAGGCAAATGAACTCTTTTAATAAATACTGTTTTGTATAAATGTTTATTATTCATTGCTTATATACATTGTTCAAGCTATATTTTAACATAGTAAAACACCACCAAAAAACACTTATGCTGTCTAACTGCCAATACGTTTATAAGAGGTAAGTTGGATGGGACCAAGGAGAGAAGCTCTCGGAAACTTCTGCGTTTTAAGCGTTTTCATCATGTAATTATTGTTCATGTTATTAGCTTTGGTTTCATTCCATCTGCCAGAACACGATAGGTTATACATTGGGGGCCAATATAACTGTTGGAGGTAGAATCAACATGTTTATGTACAAATAAGAACAATCTTAATATAGTATCGACAAAGGTAGCTACGTAAACAACTGTTGATCAAATAAAACAATAGTCAGCAGGGTATATCTCCTCCCGTCAATTGCGGAAAAAGGTAATACACACAAAACTACACCCACAAACACCCCCCCATATATATATATATATATATATATATATATATATATATATATATATATATATATATATATATATATATATATATATATATATATATATATATATATATATATATATATATAATCATGGATATACTATAAGACAACACCCAACACAAATTAAATTTTAATATCAATTTGCCTATTATACATACGTTTTAATAGCCCAATAATTTGTGGCGTTGTTGCTGACGGTCAATATCCATCAGCATTGCCCGTTGTTAGACAAAAAATATTAACCTCTTCCTTAGTTGATTGTTAAACATGTGCCTTTCGATGAACTACCTCATACACTGCTAAATGAAATGGCGAGTGAAATAACTGAACGCTGTCCATGTCATATATCTACTGACCACCAGACGCAGATAAAGATAACGAACATAACCCTTTGTACCCGACAACAGTGCTAGAGCATCAGTTAAATCGTCTTACATCCAACGCAAACTATATATAATCCTAATTAAGTAATGAATATCTGAATAAAACCAAAGATTAAAATTGCAAGGAAAAAATAAGTAGCAATACTAAATATGAGTTTATGAGTTATACAAATATTGAAAATTAACAGCTAGTGATTCTGAGTTGATGGTATGTCTGTGTGTGTGTTTGTGTGTGTTTGTGAGAGAGAGAGAGAGAGAGAGAGAGAGAGAGAGAGAGAGAGAGAGAGAGAGAGAGAGAGAGAGAGAGGGGGGGGACATGTGATGCAAGGTATGTCATCATCTCATCATTAACATTAAAACCTACGCTGTGAATGCATAATTCATTTCTTGATCTCTCTCGACATCTCTACTTTTCTGATGGCAAAATAGCAATTTGTCTTTTATTCAAAGCTATTACACTGTTTTGCAACTAGTTACACAATTTAATATTTCTAAGGAGTAAATATCTAAACATCTAATCAATCGGACATTTATAGCTGTTGCATATGTTAAACTATCGATTATTCGCTAACATTAACAAACATTATTACATTTTACACATTGGATTAGTGGAATGTGGGCCGGAAGCTGTGTTTTGTTTTCGAGTAGGACAAGGAAACAAATAAATCAGTCTGTCTGCGAAGAAAAGACGTTAATGCTAATATAAAGTGTCTGATAGAATCTGTCAAAATTAAAAGCAGACAGTTATCTTTCGTACATCGACTAGGATGTGTTAAAAGAACAAAACAGAAGAAAAAACCCAGTTTTTTTAATTCTGAAATGATATTGAAATCGAAAATGTAAATATACTAAATTAATCCCCGACATGAGCAAGGGCATGTAGTAATATAAGGTCGGTGGGAGTCTACGTTTTCTGAACCACCAGATACACCATCAGAGAGGTAAAATATAAGTTGGCAGTCTCTTTTGCCAAATGGCGTTTAATGTAAGTGTTTTGAACAGTATTTGTCTTAGTAAATAGGCTCATCACACGCTTTTGAAGATATGTAATGCGATTCACGTCAATTTCAAATGAGGGTGTGGCTTTCTGGGAGTTGGATATGAACGTTTGTCGACAGTTATATCACTAGAATGCTTGTCTATGCCGATGTAAGGATCGTATAGTGAATAAAGCGTGGGATATTGAATAGTGTGCCAAATATTTTCATCGTATACTATATAAATATGTTACGAATGTCTTTATCTTTAATTTAGATACCAAACTTTTATCGCCATCGGTTTGAAATTCATCAGCAATAGTTTTCTATATAAACAGAAACAAGTTGGTTAATCAGTAGCTCGTTTCTGTTCCATTGAAAAACTGAATATATACATTTTTTTAGAAATGTCCTATCTACAAAATAATAATACAAATATGTTATATTTATCAGGGGGCAGATTTGAGAATGTAGAGCAGCTTCGTACTTCTTGTAAAAAAAAAAAATGAGTGTGCATCAAACCTCTGTGTTACGTTGAATATTGTCCTAGCAATGAATTACCATCTAATTGACGTTGATGTCCTTGTACAGTCTTTAATATATCCCTTTTAGGGATGCAAGTAAAAGAAGTGCCTCTATATCTCATATCTCGTTTTCGTTGGAGTTATTATATGCAATCTTGTTACTTTTTCCAGTCACAGAAAAACCGAGGAATACATCCATGAAAGAAATGAACAGTAAAGCTTAACCCGGTGTATCCTATTTACTCCAGCAAAAGGAATACTGATTAAAGCAACATGTAATGACCTTAAAAAGCATGTGGTACATGCGTTGTTGCTCATAAATATTGAAGATCACGCTTAAATAGGCCATTTTTCCACCGTTCATTGCAGATAGTTTCTGTGTTAGAATCTCACGAACGCTAAAAAATGTATATCGGCTGATCAGGCTCATAAAATGATTGAATAATAGCAAATGGATAAGATCGGGGTCTCGAAAAATGCGTTTTAACAACTGATCTTGAAGCGTCAAATTTTTGCGTAAGAAAATTTATTACAAATGGTCGTTTTTGTTTCTTAAATTTCTTTTCCATTTCAAAACATTCGCCAACTTTATAGGCTATATTGAAGCCCTGGCCCATCGTGTCTGGGTCTCAACAACGAACTAAAAATTCGCTGGTCTTTAATTCAAAGAAGTACTCACGATCCGCACGAAATGTCAGAGATTTTAAAATACTAAAACATTTTATGAGAAACATTAAGTTTGCAGATGAGTCTTCTCCTTGTCACTGTTATATTACATTTTTACTTGTGAATATAAATGACAGAGCACACATGATATACTCTACACCTAACAACCACCACACATTACTGCTTTGTAAAATGTTTTGCAAACCTGGACTGACGTTTCATTAACAATGCTAGAACTTATACTTGTAAATGAGTAACAACGCGTTATTGAATACTCACATTACTTCATTGTTTCTAAAAATAATGGCAAAGAAAATGTCGTTTGTCCGGATGATTCTTTTTGTCATAGGGATGAGCTTAAAATCTGGAAGAAGTTAATATTTTTAACTATACTTACAGCATATTGCTTTGAACGAAGTTTATTGCAACTACAATAAAGGAGGGAATGAGTTGTGTGTGTGTGTATGTGTGTGTGTGTGTGTGTGTGTGTGTGAAAATATGAATTGTACTCTTAATGTAGTTTTAACAATTGTATTCATATCGCTACAATGTGGCAGTTTATTGTTGTGTCTATCACAGGGTCATCATGCCGCAGAAATGTGACGAAATGTCCTATCCAGTCACATTATCCTGAAGTCAGGCCGACAAGTCCTAACAAAAACCTTTTTATGCTAAGTGCCAAGCGAAACAGTTGTAGTACCATTTGATGTCTTTTGTATGAATGATGATTGCTTTGCGAGGCAGCTGGTATTGTATTATTATGTATTTTGTATGACTGGCATAGTGTTCGAACCTGCACCCTCCAGCATCCGACGTGGATACCTCTAACCACTTACGGCATCGGAGCTGTTCAGCCCATAAATTTTACCGTTATTATTTTTGGACCTATTATGGGTCTTTATCGTTTTATAAATTCTGCTGTAATGAAAATATTTCCTGATCATCACTTTTAACTTTGGTAAAATATATCAAATGTATTATTGTGTTAAACAATTATGATACCCAACAAAAATTGAATACACATTTTGCTTAGGAAGGGCGCTTCTGTTAGATCACTCTAGTAGCATATGGCCAGACATGGATAATAGCACGGGTGGACAATCCATGTAATGTAATATGATATTATACCTCAAGAGGGTACAATAAGTGAGCACATTTCAGGATGCTCCGACACCATTCAGGCTTCTCCAGTGGCCTAGTGGTTAGAGCATCCGCCTCTGATTTGGGAGGTCGTGGGTTCGATCTCATACCAAAGACATAAAAAATAGTACTTACAGATGCCTCGCTTGTCGCTAAACATTAAGAGGTTAGTGTTAGGACTGGTCGGCCTAGTGCCAGGATAATGTGTCTGGAAGGGACATCATGCTACACGTCTGTGGCATAATGCCCCAGTGCTAGACATTACTATAAACTGCTACACAACAGATATCGTTGCGATATCCCTGAAAAATTCTTAAAGCTACGTTAAAAATCCAAACCACACACACACATACACACATAACACACACAATTCAGCACTTAACCCAGTCGTAACAATGGTAATTTTATCTGATATTTGCTGTGTATATTTAATGACATCAATATGGAAACACAATAATATAAAATTTCCAAACGCTTTACATATATAAAATTTCAGATATAGAACCAGGGCCCTAGAAAGTGTTTACGGCCTCTGGGATAAGAAAATCCAAGGCTTGTCCTATTTTTTTTTAAACAAAATGTTTCTTTGATAAAATTTAAAAGTGCTGTTCGTCCTGGGCCCCCTTAAGGGGATATACCCCCGGTTGTCCACACCCCGCTTGTCGTCCCTGCATAGACCTCTTCTGGATGCAAGCTTTTGTGTGTAGTAAACTATATAAGCCATTGCATTGATTTAATGTACATGTGCGTGAAACATGTGTTACCCAGCCCATACCTAAAGAATCAGGTGCTAAGTGCAGTTTAGCTTGCTACTGTTAGAGGACTGAAGTGACATCTATAGTATATTGCCTTTACCTAATTCTCTTTTGGAGACCTAAACAGGTAAGCTTTCCAATTTAAGTTAATTGTAAGTATCATTTTACTTTTCTTCTTTCATCAAGTATGGCAATCCAAATGCATACATGCTCTGCTTTATGCTTGCTCATTTCTAGACTGGTTCCCAATTTTACATATTATTACTACAGAGAGTAACATATTAATCTTACCGTGTCTATATGGAATATGTACATCAGAAGCATAGCACTTCAATCTTCATCAAAAGTGACTGCATTTATGTTTTAATTTCAGGAGAGGCCTATCTCAAACAAAAGTAATATTAGGCTATCAATGCAAACAAAAAATCGGTGCCATATTAACAAATAGGCAGAGGAGGCAACGTCCTAGATTTCCCGCGCCAACGGATCAATAACATTGATTTGGTTTAATCTCGACGTATTAGGAGATAATATACGAAAGGGGCTCTGAGAGTTAGACTGTATATGTACAGGGTTTAAAGCGGAACTGCGATAAAGTTACCATGAACGGAAAAATTTACTATACCAGGTTTCTTTAAATGCGGTGTAATTTAAAGGTCAGTAGTAATTATGTGAGATTTCTGGTTCATTTAAAAGTTTATTTTGTTTAGAAAGTGTTTAAATACGAGAGGTGAGGGAGAATGAGTTTTGCAGAACCATTATTATTATCTTCTACGGTATTTATATAAATATTTAAAAAGCATTGAGTGGAGTAGGGTTTGAGTTTACTTTTATGTGACTTTTATTTATATTCGCAGTATTGGATTATCGTAAAGGCTTTAATGTTGTTGTTGTTGTTGTTGTGGGGTTTAACGCCATTTTTCAGCACAGGAAAGGCTATACATGGCGGCCAGTATTAATGGTGGAGGAAGAAACCGGGAAATCACCGGAAAGAACCACCGACCCACGAGAAGCTACTGGCAAGCTCTCTCACATATCCACATTCGCCGAATCTTAGACTCGAACCCACTCAGACAGAGGTGAGATGGCAGTGGCTTTAATATTACCATATCCGATTATACACTATTTAGTGATCCTAAAGCGAAAATGTATGCGAAATACGAGACAAAAGCCACCCTGCCATTGTTGCAACACAAATAGTGGCACAACACTATTTTTGATACACTAATAGTTTTTGAAAGGCGAGAATATTATTCATCAAGTTAAACTTACAAGTTGGAATAAGCGCATCAAGGTATGACCAAGTTTTGAACACTGAGAAAATATAATAAAATTCTAGTTGTGTTACAAAATAGTAATTATTAGAACAAAAGTACCGGTGCCTAATTTGCCGACTTCAAACATTAAAACGATATCCTGCAATGTGCCGGAAAAGATAAACTGTTTTAAATTTCTTTCAACGTACATAACTTCCAGACAACACCGACAGCACCATGATCAAAACATCGTATCGTTAAAAAGGGAGCAAATTACAAATTTGATGTGGCTAATACACAACTTTGTAATGGGCTAAATTTACAATACAGTTTGAAATTCTCGTAAATATTATGCGATCACTCTTCAATACGATTAAAAAATGAAACTGTGTATTTTATTTATGAAAACCAAACGTATTATTAAGTCAGTGACACAGTTTATGACGTAGCTGTCCTAGAACATGCAATAAGATTGACAAAATTTGAAACAGTCTTGAAACATTCATGGATTCAAATACGTTGAAGAAAAGCTGCAAATTGCATAAAGTAACATTTCCAGTTATAGAGGAATGTCCTATAATATTGTTGAATTCGTCACAAAATATCTTGTCATGAGTAAAGTACTTACTGTTGTTTTTTTATTTATACAGTATTGCACTGTTGCAGAAAAAATAATTTAATTTATTATGAGCCTGAAAGTACAGATGCTTAAACAATATCAATCAATTTTTAGAGGACAATATGCATGAACGGTTAAAAGTACGTATTTGTGAAATGGAATGGATTTGATGAATCGTTCAATAGCATGTATGCTGCTGTAAACAATATATCAGAAGTCTCATATATTATTTACTTCTGATCTCTTGTATTAAATAACTTGCCTGAATGTTACTTAGACAAAATCACCGTGTTGCTTCTATTATTAGGTGAATATTTTATACTGTTTTCAGTGAAAGATTTATAAGAAAAAAAATTTCAAGTAAGATCCTTTCAATTTTTTAACTACTGAACATGAATTTATGCCGATGAACATTATATTAAATTTGCAATGCGTCGTACAAGAACACACATGACTAATGTGGAAAAATGAATCACATTGTTAAAGAACAGTCTCTAAGATGGGAAAAGTTTTGTTTTAATCAAAACGTAAAACTGATTTACAACTAAACAAGACAAACAAATAAAATATTGAATAGTCAAACAGTTAAGATTATAATTCCTATAGATAGTTCAAATAAGGGAGAAACACTAGCAATTATAAAACATGATATCAATCTTATTTGTTAAAAAGTGTAGCATAATCCTTCTTCACTTTTACAGCCACACCTGTGTTTACATCTAGTTGGTAGGTACAGGTTATCCCACTCCGGTATTGCTGTTTTACAATATATATCAATACACATACTACGGTAATACATAATTATTTCATGATATTGTTCCTTGATATGCCTAATGAAATGAATACAATGATACTAATAATATAATAATATAATAATAACTGTGTTATATTCAGACAACCAAAATCACTGTAAGCTGGTAATGGGTTATGATGACAATTGCAACGGCGATGGTTTAAATAATGACACAAACAAATAATAGCGATAAAATTGCAGAGTATTTAAACTTTAATAATATCTGACTCAAAAAATGAAACATGAAGGAAAGTTTATTTACCTATCGGTTATATGCTGTTTTGCGAAAGAAACTGAAGAACATTCATTATGGATGTACTTGTACCGTGCTTGTAACGTCCATTGTGATTGGTATATGATGCGAGGCGGTAAGATTATGAAGTTTAGAACGGCACAAAACTGTAACATACGATAAGCTGACAAGGTATCAGAGAAAAAGTTGATATTGTATTTGTGATGCATAGAACAGATAAAAGTTTGGATAAAATTAATGAAGACATAATAAACAATATTAAAACTGAATCAAAGCTGGAAACATAATTTCCATGATAACAGTTGGCGCGATGCCGAGAAGTCATGTTGGAAGTATACTAACCAATAAAAAACAATGAGACGGTTGAATGACAGGTAGAAATGGTACGAAATGGGACATTCTCTCATTTCTTAAGAAAAAACGTATCATTCGCCTCTTCTTCTTTTGTAAATGCAATGCAAAAGGTCTACAGAAAATTAAGCCTCTAATCACATAACATATCTTATCTTGTCGATAATACAAATGTAGCTACTGTTAAACTACTAGTGACTTCATGAAATGTACGAACACTTTCGTAAAAAATCATTAATGAAATAGACGTTTACTGAATATGATCAGCATTCTAATCAGGGCCAAAACGGCAATCACTTAATATTGAAAATGATCAAGATCCTGTGGCGTCCTGTTGACCTCAGAGGGTCATTAGCGAAACTGAAGCCACACATGTGTTTGTTTGTTATTTTGCTTGAATTGGAGTCCTTATGAGGAAATGGATACCATCAGAGATACCCAATGGTAACAAGCGGTCAGTGATCTTTCAAAGTAATTGTTTATCCTTAGTTGTAAAAAAATAACGTCTTAATGAAGCACATGATACTCCTTTGGCTGATCATTTAGTGGCCAATATAACGTATTACAATAATCTTTAAAGTGATGTTCTTAAATACTGTAGTCTGTATCACACGTGCCAAACGGTACGCATAATGGTAGAATGTGTCAGTATCTTACATACGACCAAGCCCACATGAGTTTAAGAGCCCATTCCTTTGAGGAATATTAAAATAAAAACATACTTAATGTTTTGATGACGTTTTCTGGCACAGTGTAAACTTGATAAAAAAAATCTGTCCAATCTGAGCAGGGAGCAAATATTATGTTTGGAATTTTCCAGCACATTATGCAGGCATTTAAATCGAATAGTTATCACCCTGAGATTTAAGTGACTTTAGGAAGATTTCGTTACACTTTAAAATAAATATATTTAGCTCTTACTGGTTTTAATACCGGAAAAGTTTTGTGCGAATGTTTTCATTAAATGTTGTTTGTCGTCAGGGTATCAGTTCAGGAATTATTAAGCTTTAGTCCTTTTGAACTTTATTTTTGACATGCTGTTGGAGGACAATTGAAGCTTTTATTTTCAACTTAAGATTCAGAAAATAATCTTGTAATTTTTTGGATTCAAACATAAGATGTCGAAGGCTAGTGAAGTAGCAAGAAGTAATTTTAAAATACATACCTACATACATACATACATACATACATACATACATACATACATACATACATACATACATACATACATACATACATACATACATACATACATACATACATACATACATACATACATACATACATACATACATACATACATACATACATACATCATACATACATACATACATACATACATACATACATACATACATACATACATACATACATACATACATACATACATACATACATACATACATACATACATACATACATACATACATACATACATATGTGCTTCTGACTTTTGTATGCATGTGTCTATTTGTGTGTTTATACACAAGAGGCCTGAATTTGTGCAAAAAGTAAATTTTGAAAATCTAGCATAAATTTAATGTTGTTATTAATTGATATATTAATCTCTTCGTAAAGAGTTATATTTAAACGGAACTTAATGTGCTCAATTTTGCAAGCTGGAGGAAACTTGAAAACAGATATTTATTAAAATTAAGTAACAAATAAAAAACGGATAAGGAGAAGGTAAGAATATATATATAGCATTTCCACTGTGTACTTCAATGGAAATTTTAAAAGCAATTATCAGTCTTTTAATTGTACATTCATCAAAAGATAACGTAATTCTTCTCTTCAAAATGTTGTCTTTGAATCCTTCATACATTGGGACGGAAACAAAACTTCGCTAATGGTGCAAGTACGTATAACATAAAAAAGATGTATATTTATTGACGACGTCATGAGATAAGCTAATGTCTTTGTGAGCTAGGGAGAATATAGATATTACTCTCCCACGGTTTCACTCTTTTTCTACATCTTTTTTATGCACATAGTTTTAGTTAACGTGGATAATATTTCAAGACTGTTACTGTAGCATATATTGAAAACCGTCTTATTGCATTTTCCTTAAAATATTTAGGTCACAATTTGACATATTGCATTTACCTTAAAATCATTATGTCACAATCTGATATATTGAATAAACACAACTCTTTATATCATTGCTAGACTGAGAACATTAGAAATCAAATAAAACAGGAATTAATCCATGGGACATCCATTGGTACATTCTATCTTTACAGAACGACACCCAGAAGGAATATTGCTAAATATAATATGATATTTGTGCATTTTCAGGTTGAAAACTTTTTTGACTGCTCTGGTAGCCTAAGTAGCTGGAATTTCCGCCTCGGATGCGGGAGGTCATGGGTTCGAAGCCTGACCGAATAATACCTAAGACTTATAAAAATGATACAAGCAGCTGCCTCGCTTGGCGCGGGGCAGTAAGAGGTTAATGTTAGGGCATGTCGGCCTAGTGCCTGGATAATGTGACTGGGTGGGACATGATGCTATGTGTCTAAAGCATGATGTCCCAGTGCTATATATTACTATAAAATGCCACATTGCAGACATCGTAGCGACATGACTGGAACATTGTCGAAGCTGCGTTAAATATCCAAATCATACACACTCACCCTCACACACACACACACACACACACACACACACACACACACAAACACTTTATAATAAGCTCAGAATTTTCCAGAGCACAAGCGAGAGTGGCGTACACTATGGGCGAATGAATCATCTTCCACATCACACACGTAGCAATGCAAATTATCTCTTATTACAATGGAAAAACGTATTGTGTCTATTATTTACGCACGTAATAACAACAGCTGCTACGTTAATAAAAATACAGATGTTATTTCATTTTTTGATACAAATCTAAAATATGTGATATCCTGTAGCATTGGCTAACATTTGTGCATGACAGCCTCATTTGTCTTCGTTGAATATATTGGTATCAGGTATATATCCCATAAGAAGATTTGTTGGAACATCGTTTTCAGTTAAGTATGATACGTATCATTTGTCAAGGCTACATACAGGAAGAGAAAAGGAAAGAACAGTAAATTTAAGTGGATATACTTTATATTCATATAGTTTGTACCTTGTTTTTATCTCTTTGTGTATTGATAAATACATTTAATACATATTTCATAATGCGATATTGAAATGTATTAGTCAGACAAAATATATACTGCCACTGTGGCAATAATATTTTTGTAATTACATTGATTTCCTATTTAGAAAATTTACTTGCCATTATGCATGTTATTCAAATCATTGTTTTCATATTTATGACTGATTCATTTTCTTTTTCTTCTTCTTCTTCTTCTTCTTCTTCTTCTTCTTCTTCTTCTTCTTCTTTTCTCTCTCTCTCTCTCTCTCTCTCTCTCTCTCTCTCTCTCTCTCTCTCTCTCTCTCTCTCTCTCTCTCTCTCTCTCTCTCTCTCTCTCTCTCTCTCTCTCTCTCTGTTTTCTTTACCCTATGTTCTATTATTGGCTTATAACAAATTACGGGAAGAAGTTTTTCGTACGCATTCTCTCGTGTTATATAAAATCGATTGTCGTAAAGCTGACATGTGTCTGTTATCACTTGAATCGCAGTTAAACATGGTAACAGTGTACGACATTTAAATTAGAAACATTGACCTTTATTCCTCTACTTCTTAGCCTATTTGGATAGTATGGAGAATTAAAAAGAATTACATGCATGCATATCCAGCAAATGTTGCCTATCTACCGTAATCTAGAGCCTGCATTACACCTTTACTCTGTTGTGTATTAACGCGATGGATATTTAAAACCAAATTATGTATTAAAAAGGAGTAATGTATAAGATGAAATCAATATTTAATTTTGTGATAAGGCAAAAGCACGATCGCAAAGTCAAGTTACATCAGTTTTCGTGTCAGGTGTGTTTCACCTGAATTATATTTGTAATAGCACCGTTTTTAAAATACAAAGAAACTGCACTATAATAGACTTTTAGGAAGAAACTTTTTCATCGTGGAAAAATATGAAATGTTTTTAGAAATGTGAAATTCTCTGAGAAAAAATATAGACCTAGATGGAAGAACGATACGAGTTACCTGTTCAGCTCAGGTAAATGTACGCGGATACTTCCGTTAAACTGTTCGCATAGAGAGAAGGAGCATAAACGCTACATATGTTTAGCTAATATAGCTTTTAAAATTTGAGGTGACACGGAATCGATTACTAACAAACATTTCACTCGCATTCATTTTGCAAACTTCCAACTAGTGAAAACATTTCTGTAAAATATAATTATGACAGAGGATCTAGGATCATGATCATAACAATTATCGATTAGTATCTATGCAATGGAAAAATGTTTAGATATCATATGACAATTATCGATTACGTACTATGCTATGGAAAACTATTTATATATCATATGAAAATTATCGAATAGTAACTATGCAATGAAAAAATATTTAGATATCATATTACAATTATCGATTAGTAACTATGCAATGAAAAATGTTTAAATATGATATGACAATTATCGATTAGTAACTATGCAATGGAAAAATGTTTAAATATGATATGACAATTATCGATTAGTAACTATGCAATGGAAAAATGTTTAAATATGATATGACAATTATCGATTAGTATCTATGCAATGGAAAAATGTTTAGATATCATATGACAATTATCGATTACGTACTATGCTATGGAAAACTATTTATATATCATATGAAAATTATCGAATAGTAACTATGCAATGAAAAAATATTTAGATATCATATTACAATTATCGATTAGTAACTATGCAATGGAAAAATGTTTAGATATCATATTACAATTATCGATTAGTAACTATGCAATGAAAAAATGTTTAGATATCATATGACTGATGCTACTTAAAATGAAGCAAAATCTTTGTCATTTATTGTTAATTGAAAGTAATTTCTTGTATTACTACCCCGGATCTATTCTGTGATCCCGATGAAATCATAAAATCCCGATAAATTCAATCATCATGGCATCATATTCACCAGTTTAAAATATAGTGTGTTCTTCACCAACACAAAAGCGTTTACATCATAAATCTCTTGCTTTTTTCTCAGCTTTCAAATAATGTTTAAGACGAAGCAGTTGAGAATTATCGAGCAGGACTGACAATAATTATGCTCGTCAAGCATAATTGAGAAATTTGTTTAGAGTAATTTGATATTACTTTGTTAGAAACCAAATAATTCACTTCCTATTTATTAATTGCGCAGAAGGGCGTGATATTATGTTTCCATGTAGTATAATAACATAAACCCTACCGGCCTTATTGTGTATCACAAAAACAAAAAAAAAAAAAAAAAAAAAAAAAACCGAAAACAAACGAAGGCAACACGTTTGATATTCAAGTCAATCAATGCTTCATGTAACAGCTGGTGTGCTCAAAGCTTGATATAAATATAAATCTCTACATTTTCAAGTGTTTGTTTTTCATACATATTAATTGTATATTTCTCTACAACGTGGGTTGATACACATGGTTCTTACTTATCCATATTTTATTTGTTTTGAATAAGTACCACAATGGTAAATGTCGAATCAGATGAATCGGATGCTTCGCAAAATTTGCAAAAGAGACAGTGAATCGAGTATGGACATTTTCGAAATACATGTACATCTTTCTCAATACAAAAGCTCATAAATATTATATTGTAAAAACAAAAGAATATCGAACTATTGAAACAATATATCAACAGGTCTGGTTATAACTACTGTATTGACTGAGTGCAGAAAGACTTCGTTTTAATGTAGAATGATTCGAATGTAGGGCAAGTTGTTTTCTACTTAAATAGTACTGCCTTGATAACCGTAACACATGCTCTCTCTCTCTCTCTCTCTCTCTCTCTCTCTCTCTCTCTCTCTCTCTCTCTCTCTCTCTCTCTCTCTCTCTCTCTCTCTCTCCTCCCACGATGGCCAAGTGGTTAGAAAGTTTTCGCCTCGTATGCGGGAGGAACCGGGTTTGAGACCCGGCAGAGTTATAAAATAGCTCTGGCAGCTGCCTCACGTGGCGCTAAGCATTAAGAGGCTAGTGTTAGGACTGGTCGGAATGGTGTCAGTATAATGTGTCTGGGTGGAACATGAAGCTATATCTCTGCAGCATGATGGCCCAGTCTTAGGCCTCACAATAAACTGCCATACTGTAGATATTGTAGCAATATGACTGAATAATTGTTAAAGTTACATTAAAATTCAAATCACACACACACATACACATACATATTCTCTCCCTCTCACTTCGTATATATCAATCGACCTACCTCCCTACCTACCTAACTACATCCATTCATCCATACCAACCTACCTACCTCCCTACCTACCTACCTACCTACCTACCTGCATGCATGCATGCATGCATGCATGCATGCATGTATACATACATACATACATACATACATACATACATACATACATACATACATACATACATACATACATACATACATACATACATACATACATACATACATACATGCATGCATGCATGCATGCATGCATGCATGCATACATACATACATACATACATACATACATACATACATACATACATACATACATACATACATACATACATACATACATACATACATACATACATAGCTACATACATAGCTACATACATAGCTACATACATAGCTACATACATACATACATACATACATACATACATACATACATACATACATACATACATACATACATACATACATACATACATACATACATACATACATACATACATACATACATACATACATACATACATACATACATATAAGAGTGACAGTGTTCAAAGGATTTGCGTATACTATTCCCTTCTAAATTGATACGATGTCGGTTTGTAAAATCGGATCAGCCCTTGTCGACTTCTGTGGTGTGTCCTTGGTCTAGACACTTAAGTCGAATCATCTTGGTGCTCAGCAACATATTTGTACTATATCGTGAAACATCAAACTGAACCATCCATCCATCCATTTATTTTGGTTATTGGAGAGAATCAATTACTACAGGTGGATTTATAAAGTCACGGATGTGATGATGTCGATCAGAAAGTCATTGTTTGGAAATGCAAGGAATTATATTTCAATGTTGTTCATATACTAACTGGCTGATATATAATCATCAAACGTACATTTGTAGATTCTTCTATTACATATCTTATATTTGCAACACATATATACCTACACATTTTGCTGCCATTATACTTCGGCTTGTTTGCTTATTCAATATTTCGAGTTGAGGACATACATTTTTCAAAAATAAAGTATTTTAGTACACTGTTCAGAACAAATATAAGTATACTTCCTGATAGTTCTCTATTTCAATACGGCAATATTATTCTTATATAAATAGCAGATAACGAATCGAGATAAAGAATTCACGGTGTGAGGAAGAGATAAGAAAAGTACATAATCTGTTATTTGGTCACATAGAGGCGATATTTACCTGAATGTGTTGAATAAATTCGAGGCAACGGACCAACTTGAGGAACCCATTTCAGAAAATAAGGTACGAAAAGTGAATTTAAAAACTTGAACGAGTCTTTGTGCTACCTGAGTTAATGAATCGAGTGGATAAGGCTGTTTACTCAACGAGACATTGTGTTTTATGAGAGAAAAAGTAAACACGGATTTCAATTCATGTACGCGTATCTGGTCATTATATTACATTCGAGTCGTGTAGGTTTTGGACAAGTAAGGTGTGATCATTGTGTCTATATGTTTATTGGTATTTGTTTGTCGTGGAAATAACGAAGAATGTGGCTTGATTTTGGTTGATTTTGTATAGATAGAAATGAGAGAGTACATATATTGTTTGATTGAAATTTTTGGGAATAAATTATGGTATAAGTTTCTATTTGATCCTTGAAGACGATATTTGATAAATATATATTGCATGATAAACGCAACACATTATGCTCCAAAAATGATAATAGATATATGTAAATAACGTTTGAGATAATGTGTTGTTGTTGTTGTTGTAGGATTAAACGACACTTTTGTTTAGCACAATATAGGCTATACATGCCGGTCACAACAAACGGTGCAAGAAGAACCCGGGAAAACACCGGAAAGAACCACCGACTCAAGAAAAGCTTCTGGCAAACTTTCTCGTATATGCACATTGGCCGAGCACGAGATTTGAATCCACGCAGACAAAAGTGAAACGGTAGGGACCCGTAACGGTAAGCACTTTTGATCACTCGATTACTCAGGGCCCCGGTGTCGGATATAATCAGAATCGAAAATACATATATTGTATTGCCATGCATGTGGCATAGGTACTTTTTACTTTTGTTTAATCGTTACTAGAATGTAATTTATTTTCTCCATGAAAACAGAGAGAGAGAGAGAGAGAGAGAGAGAGAGAGAGAGAGAGAGAGAGAGAGAGAGAGAGAGAGAGAGAGAGAGAGAGAGAGAGAGAGAAGGGGGAAATAGTAGTTGTAGATACTGTCAGGTATACATATATGCATATATATGCCTATATATACCTATATATGCCTCTATATACATATATTGTACCTGCAGTCTACCTACACATGTACATACATCAAAGCCTACGGAGATAGACGGGCAGACTGATAGATGACAGATACGAGTATATCGCAAAAATAGTCATAGTGTGTAGAGTTAAGAAATGATAAAATAAACAATTATAAACACTATTTTCTTTCTTGAAGTTATAGACTGATTAATTTGTTATCGGATTTAATTGTGGATTTGCTAAACACACACACACAGATTATATATATTATATATATATATATATATATATATATATATATATATATATATTATATATATATATATATATATATATATATATATATATATATATATATATATATACGTTTGTATGTATGTATTTATGTATGTGTGTATGCGTTCTTGCGTGTGTATGAGCCAGACAGCCATTAATACAATCTATTTTCTGAAATGCAAAATCTGTGCCATTCAGTATGTTGACTAGACCACTTAATTGAGAATGCGAATGATTAATCACAAAATCCAGATTCGCAAAAAAAATTCAACGTGAAAGTTTCGAGCCACTACAATTCGATTTGGACCCGCATACAAGTCTCTTGAGATCTTATCGATTGAAACCTAACCTGGTTTGGACAGATTTAGATCGGTGTGTTAAAAATTATTGTATAATTCTACCGTAATATAATTTCTGGCATCGGTCGCTCGCCAAGGTTTGTTTTCATCCTTTAGACACAGCTAAAGTTACTTAGGATTAAGTAAAGATATATTGACTCGCTATGTGATATACACATGAACAACATTTTATTGTTGTATCTCTTGTTATAAATTTCGACTAGTATTTCTAACATGTAGGAGTCCTTAATGTTTTGGAAGATATTGAAGGTAATTTTTATTGAGGTAAGGCGTTAACACAAATTCAATAGAGATTGTCAAGAACGACGATTCTATTTACACATTCTTTTTTGTCCTGTATTGACTTTTAGTATTAGTGCTTGAACTAAGTATTTCAGAAGCGAAGAAAGTAAAAAGAAATGTTGTTATTTTAATACCTACTACCAAATAAATATTATACAACAATGTTTTCTATACTTACTGCAATGTATGTATGTATGTATGTATGTATGTATGTATGTATGTATGTATGTATGTATGTATGTATGTATGTATGTATGTATGTATGTATGTATGTATGTATGCATGTATGTATGTATATACGTTTTTATACTGACTACAAAATATATATGATACATGTTATTTCGATATCTAATGCCAAAGAAATACATACTATTTAGACACCTACTTCTAATAAACGCAATGATGTTCGTTCCATTATTAATGCCAAATATTATGTATGTATGTATGTATGTATGTATGTATGTATGTATGTATGTATGTATGTATGTATGTATGTATGTATGTATGTATGTATGTATGTATGTATGTATGTATGTATGTATGTATGTATGTATGTATGTATGTATGTATGTATGTATGTATGTATATACGTTTTTATACTGACTACAAAATATATATGATACATGTTATTTCGATATCTAATGCCAAAGAAATACATACTATTTAGACACCTACTTCTAATAAACGCAATGATGTTCGTTCCATTATTAATGCCAAATATTATACATGTTACATTGATACATATACATGTTAATTCGATACTTACTGCCAGAATATATTTACATGTAATGATGAAAGTTGTAACGGAGTGATTACATCAAACGTCATTTAAAGTAAATCGAGTATAAGATGAGATAATACGTGCATAAATTGTCTATATTAATTAAGTCAGTTTTAATGAATCGAGTTCAAATGGACTTTATAAGCAGTGATAGCTGTCTATTAAGGATTCATACTCAGGGACCACAAAATTTCCTTTAAGCATGAATGCTAGAGCTTGAATTAAGACATTGTATATATGAAGGTTTCTTCTAGGACTGCTGTTAACGAAAATGTGTTTTTTCTTGCTTGAGGTAAAAATACACCCACATGAGGTAGCGGCCCATAATTAGTCTAATTGAAATTATTTTCAAAATTATTTTTTAAAATTACTTCATATAAATGATATGATGAAACTATGGTATTTGTATTTACCTAATATACTGATTTTTCAAAACATTATTTACAGGAATAACGCATATAGGAGCATATCCCTCGAAAACTTGTCATCTTTATATTGCAAGAAATTATTTTTAATTTACAAGTTGTTCTGACAGTTGTTGTTAAACGTCTCATCAACACAAATGGACTTTTAAGTTCTGTGGTAATTGGAGTAAAGTGACGTGCACATGAACAATGCAGCTTTGCCTGATGAATCAATTAGCCACCATTACGACAAGCGGAATGACGCATCAAGCCTATTATACGTCCCAGGGATCACGGGGGTAATTTCCAACTTAAAAAATATGGTGTAATTTCCAATTTAAAAATAAATGAGCAATAAAAAGTAACATCCAACATTGACAACTCCCCCCTTTCTC